CAAAAATTTGCAAATAAAAATTTGATACAGTACCCTTTATAAGTCAAACTTTTGCTACCAAATGTAATTCTTGCCCAGTTTCGAACTGCACAAATTCCAATTCAGAATTGCACAACATATTTCAGAACTGTACATATCTGTTACAACTGTACATTAAAAGATGCCCTGTCTAAGGGGACGACGAAACGAATCAAATTCAAAATGCTGACCGATACTGTGCTTTCCCCCCCCCCCCCAAAAAAAAAGATTCTAAGATGTTTCGTCGCAAAGGCCCAGTCGTGGGAAAGGGGGGGGGGGAGGGACATCGTTCGGCAAGGAACACGGCTGCGAACAAGGAATAAGGAAGAGAATGCAAAGATATTTCGAAGGGCTGAAGGTCCGATGTCTGTAGATCGCTATGCCATGCCCACCTCCCCATTCCACTTCTCAGCACATTCCATCATCTGTCATCCCTTTCGTTTTGTGTCGTCGTTTCCTCGCGACGCGACTCCAAATAGGGCGCTTGATATAAGGATATGAGGAGAATGAAGAACCTGTTGGCGTGCTTCGAGAACCCATCTTCAAGTGTAATTGTGGAAACATGTATCGAGCGACTCGTGTGGAAGGTGTCGTTTCCATTCCTTTTTGCCGCTTCAAGAATTACGCGAATGAGGATGAAATGAGCCTGGACCGGGCACACGGGAAATCACTCATCCGTGCTTGGAAAGGAAGGGGAACCAGGGAAAAAAACAAACAAACAAACACACTTTTGGGAACGCCAAGAGCCACACGCCACACACCCCCGAGAAACGCCGATCAAATGGATGCAGTTCGGAAGAAAGGAAGAGGAGCTGCAGGAAAGAAAAGGGACCCCTTCTCCTCCTTCCCCCCACCCCCCATCCCGCCCACCCTAACTCTTTCCCCCCCAAACCCCACCCCTCTGGTCAAGGACCAGCTCCCGAGGCCATAATATCCGAGGCCACAGCCGAATCCTTGAACCGCAGCTTTTTAATTATGATTTCTGAGCATCTCATCGGCCGGAAATGGAGACTGATATTAATTAAGATTCACAGAGGATACAGCTGTAGCCTATGTGTGCGCATGTTAGGAGAGAAAAAAAGCCGAGATCCGGATCCAAACCCCGCCCATTAGGAACGAGACGGCAACGATAGGACTCGAAAGATGCCTGAAATGCGGCTGCATCAAGACGATCAAAGGAAGGTTTTAATGCCGTCCCAGAGATGGCGCAAGTAGCTTCCCCCTGCCAAGCACAAACATCCACTCGTCGGAACCATTCCATCTCCTTTCGAGAGCCTCGATGGATTTATTACGATACGTCCTCGTGAAATCGAATCGTATATCGAGGAAATTGTTTTCCGGAGTTTCGTCGTGCTTAGGATGAAGATCTTCGTATTTGATGGTTTTCATCTGGGACCAAAACGTCGTCACGATACAAAAGACAGAGGATGCTTTCTCGAAAAGACGTTTGGAGCGTGAGTCCTGGATGGATTTTCCCTTTTCTAAATATCCAAGACTCATGATTCTATCGTGTTTTCTTCTATGATTTTTCCCCCTCTGGCTTGTAACTTTTAGCTGCTTCGGGCAACGAGGAAGGGGAAGATATGGATTTCGTATCCGAAAGCCGAGTGCATGGAGTTCCTCGCAAACGATCCCGGAGCATCCGACCCCACCCTGGAATCTCGATTAGCTCCGACTTTCCATCTGGGCCTGGAGGATCCCCTGCCCCCCGATCGACCGCGGCGAGGCCCACGAAGAGATACCCTGGCCGACCGACTGCCCCGACGGAACGAAGCCGTCTCGTAAAAAACTGCATCGCGAGGGATCGCTCGAACGCGTAGATGAAACGACATCGGCTCTGCCTCTTTCGAGTCGGTCGGCGGGACGTGCAGAGAGCGGTGGGGAAGAAGCCACAGCGTGTTCGTCCTTAACCATTCCCATGTGCCCGTGCCGAAACGACCGCCACCGGGAAGGAGACGGGGAGTGAGAACGAAAGGGGTAAAAAAAAAAAAAGTCATAAAATGAAAGCGGAAGGGGAAGAAGCCCTCTTACCGCAACGCCTAGACGACACCAACCAGGAAGAGAGAGAGAATATCCCCCACACGAGAGTAACAATCCAGCCGCCCTCCTTGCCCTTCCACCTTACCCTTCCACTTTCTTTTCTCAAGGACAGGATACCGATAAGATGAGAGAAATCACTTTTTTTCTTTTTTTTTTTCTTCCTAGTGAGGTTCCCGATAGAACCCGCCGGGGGTGATGATCTCGATGGAAAGAGGACGTCCTCACTACGGAAAACTCATTCCGCAACTTCACCTTCTTTTCAGCCCCGCTAGCAGAGTATATTGGATCGATGTTTGCTCGGCATCGGACCGATATTACAACGTGGGTCCAACATCTGCTCGATATCGGTTCGATGAGCTCCGTGCCACTGGAGAGGCTTTGCCCTCCGTAGCTCGACGAAAGAACAGAAAGAACAGCCTCTCCATCGATGACACACGGATACCAGATGTCATCGACGTCTATGGGCCTCTGCCCTTGGCGTTCGCTTTTAACCTATCGAAAATACCATTGCGGGAAGATGGCTTTCAGACTCTACGAGGTCACAAATCATCGTGGTTTCTTATTATTTCGCGTAACGTGTTAATCGGTAAGTGTTCTGTTACCTTAAGGTGATGTGCAAAATCACGGAAGCATAAGTATACAGGCGCAGCACTCTCGTATGAAAATATCCCACAAAGTGCTTTTTGGGGCTGTAGGTAATGTGAGGTAAGCATAAAAATATGGACGGGATCTCCATCGTTCCATTACAGACGTTTCGTGCGAGAAGAGTTGCCCCGGACGGACGGAAATCGGAGGGGAGGAGAGAAAAAAGGCAGGAAGCTCCATCGAGGATGAGAATGGCATCCATTCCCCTCTTGGCCGGCACGAGACCGAGACACTGCAATCAATGTAAACACGCATGGAAGTCCGCGAGTCTTCCATCCAAGTCAATAGAATTAGGAAAGAGTGGAGGGGGGAGAGGAGGAGGAGGAGGAGGAAGAGGAGGAAAGGAGGAAGAGGAGTGCAGTGGAGCGAAGGATCCTAATCGAATGAATTTCTGTCTAATCCCGGCTGTCCACACTCCCCTCCTCCCCCGTCCGCTCCATCCCCCCACCCCCTCCCCCCTCCCCCCTCCCCCTCTCCCCCTCCCCCTTCCTCCCCATCCGTTGGCTCGCCACGGGCTTCCATCGATGGAAAATCCCTTTTGTAATTTTTTTAATCATCGTTCCGGACGGAACGTAGGAAAGACGAGCTGACAGCTGCCTCTCTCCCTCGCAGCTGAACCGTAATGAGTGCGACTCAAAGGGTCACAAGTAAAAAGAGAGAGAGAAAAACGATTTTTTTTTTCGAAGTCGTACGAGGGGAGAGAAGGAAGATGAGAAAAGAGTCGTTCGACAATGGGAAACCGGGGGCGCCATGTGGTCCACGGGAGAAGAATGGTTTCCAGCCGGAGAATCGCACTTTAATTGGTGCCTCTGTTTCTACACAGCCGACAATTAATTCCACGCTTTAATTAATATATGGACAAGGCCTGTCAACGTTGGAAATGAAAAGGAAGAGATATCCTCTCGCTTGGGCAACAAACACACCTGGTTCCACGACGAAGACTTCCTCACCTTTCACGACATTTCACTCAAGCCTTCACTTACGCATGTTGATTTCCTGCCACGCGGAGGGACGGAGGCGGTGTCGTCGAATGGTGGAGTGGAGGCGGTCGACTCCATTGGGATTTTCATTCAAAATTTTCACAGTATTTGGAGCCCACGAGAAAACTTAAATTCCAGCTTTTTTTCCCATCTGACTTTTACTGTTCACGAAGCATTTTCGTATTTTTGGTTCTCGAGGTAAATTTTTGTCTCAACGACGAAAACTTTCGAACGAGGAGTCTGAGAGGGTCAAATGACGTCAGATGGCCTCAGACAGGATCAGATGGCATCAGATGGCCTCAGACAGGGTCAGATGGCATCAGATGGCCTCAGACAGGATCAGATGCACTCGGGGCAACTCCCAATGTTTATGCAACCGGAGGGGATGGAGAATTCGTATATACCTGATTTTTCTGATAAAAATAGTCCAATGCATCGGTCAAGTGATACTTCTACTTGAGAAAATCTTAATTTTGTTTCACAAATATTTTCGATACTGCAAAAGAATTTGAAGTAGTCATCCCTCCATTACCATCGCATCGAGCTTCGTAAGAAATCCTAAGCTTGGGGTCCATTATTGCGGGATGTGGTATACAAAAGGCGAAATCCTCTTAAGAACCCATGAACTCTTTCACGTCCGAACCGCGTTTCAGGCAGTGGAAAATATCCCATTTACTTTCATGGCTTAGGGTGCCCGTACATCGTACATGCATTTCGATGTATTTTTTTTATTAACGGAGGACTCATATCGATGCGGCCGAAACGCATAAAGTCTGGCGCACTTCGGGAATCGCGATCGCGAGATCCGCGTCCACCTCGATTGCATCCTTTTTTCGTGTTCGCGCGCGACGAAGCGGCCTTCGCTTCCGCGTTGCGAGGGAAGATTGGAAGCGACACTCCGCGGATGAGATTTTGCAATAGAATCCGCCGTTCTTGCACCTGCTGGCAGCCAAATCTACTTTCGGGGATTTCGTTCAGTGCCAAACACGCAAAACTTTTTTGACACGAAAATGCTCCGTCGAAAGTTGCCATTATTATGACACACTTGGAACGTGCCAAAAGGTGTCTCGAATTTCTGATATGTACGTTATGTGTCAAAAGGTCTCTGTGTGAACTGCATTCTTTCAGCATTAAGCGCTTTAAATAAATTGAACCGAGAATCAATGCTCTTGTTAGATCTCTCTAGGAATCTTGAAATCTTCCTGCTGCTCAGATCAGTCGCCAAGACTGATCTGAGAAATTGACAAACTGACAGACTGAGAAATTCTAACCTGAGTTCAACTATCATTCCATTCGAGATAGATGAAAGGAGGGAAATCATCGCCTCAAAGGGACGAGCACGCTCTTAACCCAGGGTGGACCCAGGGAGGACCCAGGGAGGACCCAGGGAGGACCCAGAGAGGATCCAGGGAGGATCCAGGGAGGATCCAGGGAGGGATTCTCGGCCTCCACTGTCGCATTTTTGGTGACTTCACGCAGAAGGAATAATGCCCCCGCCTCGAACCTTTCTTGTTTTTGATGGGTCCAGGCCAGATCCAGATCAGATGTTTCAAAACACATTTTCGCCCTCAGATATGAAAACAAAGTGTGTTTCCAAATGACCATACGAGTACAAAATATGTCACTTCGACACACTAAAAGTTTCGCCGAGGCTTGGAATGTCGGCGATCAGATGGTGAACGCTTAAAATTTCTTAATTTTAGACATTTTGAATTTTTTGAAACGGAGTGGAAATTTGACTCGACCGATGAGAACTATTTAAATGAGAAGAATATGGGCTAAACGAATTCCCTGTCCCAATACTCGACGAGACATTGGCGGCTGCTCCCTCCTCGCAAACTTCGACGAAGCGTATCTGAGAAACCTTTGAGGCGAGAGAGTGAGAAAGTGAAAGAGAGAGAGAGAGAGGAGGGGGGGGGGGGGGGGGAAATTTCGTCCGCAAATGTATTTTTCCTTTTTACATAAAAATCCCAGAGTTGTCAGAGAATGTGACCGGCCTTCACTGCTGCGAGTATTATCTTCCTGTTTTGATAAGAGCGAGAAGGTTCCAGATTCTTCAGGCTCTCGAGCTGCTGCGTCCATCTCGTCCACCTCGTCTATCTCGTCTATCTCGTCCATCTCGTCCATCTCATCTCGACGGAAACGTTTTGCCACGGCGGTTCTTTCGAGAGACCGAATAAGGAAAAAAAAATGGTCGGGATGAAACGATGCGAGGGGAAGATGAAGTCCTTCCAAGCCCCGAGAGAGAGGAGCTTGTGAAGCAAGTCACGTGTAGCCGTCTACCCCTGCAACGTCCTGAAACAACAATCGGGTTTTCCCTCCGCGATTTAGTCGGGACTCGGTTGGGACTCCGTTCTCTTCTTTCGGTCCGTCGGTCGAACGCGGCCGCTCGGGGCTTTCGGGTGGGGATTCCCGTCGCCCTTCCGGTCGTCGGGAACGGCACGGTCGATGACGATTCCACGAACGTCGAAAACGGCAAAAGTCCTTCGCCGCCTTCTTGTAACTTTTCGAATCGCATTGGAGACGGCCGGACTCCCCTGGATTTAAAACCAGGGGAAGTCCGGCCGTTTCCGATCGAATTTTAGACATTTTGATTCCGGCTCAAATGAGTGAACCCACTGCTTCACTACTTCAACCAGCTGCAATGATATTCTAAAAAAAAAAAAAATAATAAATATCTGAAACCTCTGGAGATTTGATGTGCACAAATTCATCCCATCAGGAGTCAGGAGACGTGAGACCCTTTTTCCTATTCCAAAATCTTGCACGAAAATAGTACAAGCTGTTCCGTGCGGTATGAAATGTTGCCCAGCTAACTGCACGCGAACCATTCGTCTGTCCTCGTTGAAGACACGTCAGACACGTTGAAACGTGTTTTCTCTTCGAGTCGCAGATCCGCCACTTCTCTACTCATCCTCGACCTCGGTTCTGCCGGCATTAAACATGTTTATCCACCGACAGTGACGCAAGTTGGACGATCATCCGGCAAAACCGTGCGCAAAATGTCATGAATTTCGGTAGCATTTTCATGCAGCATGACATGAAATTTGAGAAGCGTCCTCGTGTTCTTTTCCAAATGACGCACGCAGAGCTGCAGGTTTTCTTAATGTGAGACAAGTGAGGTTAGCCACTTACAGAAAATGCTTCAATCGGCCTCTTTTAAAGGAATTCATGTGCAGTTTCGTGTGCAATCGGTCCCGACTTCTTTGGGTGAACATTGCATGTGCAGAGTTGTTCTTAAGTCTGTTCTGAATGTCTGGAGACATTCTTCAAATCAGACAGCGTCCTGATTCTGGGAGCTTCGAAGGGATTCAGGTACATAGTCTTCGTATCTCAGCTTTTCTCGCTTCTTCCTATCCGAGTTTCAACACGACGACGAAGTGGAAGAAATGGCCACTGCCTGAACGAGTTCTCTCGAGAAAACAAATGCGCATATTTCAGGAATTCTCGAGTCGAGAGATTCGCCCGAAGCAGTAAAATTGACTTGCATGAACACGTTCCCTTCTATTGCACCCGTTTAACTGGCAGCAGCCGATGATGATGAAGTGCAACACTACCTCGACTGGCGTCTGCTCTCTTCATTCCCGTCCCCCTTCCTTCCTAGCAACAGGGTCACTGGCAAATAATTCGTCTTCCACGATCACCTGCAAGTGCGACGTACATGCCACGTCGAGAAAAACTCTTCCCCTCTCACAACAGACCTCCCAGCCTCTTCGCAAAAATGTTTCTACGTGATGCTCATCCAATAACATTTTTTGCTTATGGGGTTACCTCATTTTAAGATACGTCAATAAAACACCTCCAAGACATGATGTATGAGTAGTGTTTAGAGACGTTGACAGCAACGCGATACGAACCCATCCATCTGAGATTGCATTCTGCAGTGGTGAGAAACGGCTCCATACACACCTCGGGGTCACATATCGCTATGAATCAGCCCACGCACTCAGGATCGAAAGCGACGGGGAAGAAAAGAATCTGTTTATTGTTAATAAGTACCACGAGATTCCATTCAGCAATGTAGTCAGAGGGGGGGGAAAACATCACAGAATTCAGGACTATTCTAGTTCCCTTCCTTCCTTACGGAAAAACAACGAACGAAACGAAACATGCAGGAAATTCCAGGAGTCTTTCAATCCCTTCGCCGAAGCACAGGAATAATATTGTATTTTAAGCCCATATGAGAAGGGATTTCTTCCCAGTCCAATGGGGGAAAGATGGCAATGATGAGAATGAAAAAATATCACAATGGAAGGTCTCCTGATTTCTCCAGACTAGATCCAATCCGATCCGACGCACCTCTGCTTCTTCAGTCACGAAGCCGCCCCTGTTCAACATAAATGGGGTGGAAATTTTTTTATAATTTTCCTTCTGCGTCATGACAGGTGTTATTACATGCTAAGGCTATTTGGATTCATCAGGGCCATATTCAAGAGGGTTTCCGGGACATATAGAGAGGGAGCATGAAAGGCCAGAGAGGATGAGTCAGAGAGAGAGAGAGAGAGGAGGGTAGAATAACTCGTGTAGGCCTATATTTTTTGGTTTAGGAGGGGGATCGACCCAGCCAGGACCAGAGACAGGTACAGACTTCCCCTCAGTTCCATACGCTAATTACATTCATTCATTTATTCATTCATTCGCTCATTCATTCATCATGAATGCCATTTTTCAATCCAGCACGTGTGCCAGATCCCACCCGAGTCACACACCCTTCAAAATAATAATCTCCTCTCATCCTCCCGTTACAATGCAATCGCCTGGCCCAGAGCGAGAGGTGGGCAAGAAAAGGTGATGCAATAACACGTGCAGGGAAGGGCAATAAAGACAATCCAGTCTCCACACGACCGTCACGAACGGAGACGGTGGAACGTTTCCAGCCCTCGTCGAGACACCACTGAATATCGATCGAGGTGGAGGTTGCATTCCCAACTCCTAATAAATCTAGTGAGTACTCGCCAGGAATTGGATTTTGGGAAATGAAAGCGACTCGTAGTCCCGAACTGGGCTCCCTTTTCCCCAGCCATCCCAAACAAATGATGGGTCATTTATTCTCCGCCTCCAAGTGGACCTGGTGTTCGTGACCTGATGCATTTTTCACCCTGTTTCCCCCCCTCCATCATGATTCATGAACCATACCGGGAGCAGGCCAGCTGAGTCTCTCCCTCTCTCATCGCCTGTCAGCGACCTACCTTCTTCCCGTAGCACGAGGCAAAGGAAAGGAGGAAACACGAGGAAAGAGGAGAGGAGGATCGATTGGCTCAAAAATCCTCCTTTGCTGGTTCATCAAAGCAGAGAGAGGAGAGGGGCTCATTAGGGGGCCTTCCCTGTCATTCCTCCCCTCCTTTTTCTTGCCAAATTACAACCCCGACTCCCACTCGATATTCATCTCCTCTACGCATCCATGCATGCATTCAGACATACTCACGGGAGTGTTGTTGTGGAGAAGAGGAGTTGGACTGGAGGAGGAACGGAGGCGATGAGAAGAAGGGTTGGACTTCCTCGTCGTCTCCATCCTCGCCCCCTTCATCCCTTTTCCTCTTCTTCCCTCCTCCATCCTCCCTGTCTCTCACCACCAACATGTTGTCGTAATCACTGTAATCATCACAGCTCATCCCTGCCTCCGTCTCCGTCTCGATCCCTGAATACACCAACTCAATTTTTTTTGCTGCCTAAGTGAATGTGACACGAAAGAACCTGCGATTTCCTGCACACCATCGTCCGGAGGGAAGGTAAAGGACTGAGGGCCTTCGGAAGCAGAGCCAAGGGAAGGAAGAGAGGATTGGATCCCCCGATCCATGCACGGATGGAATCCCAACTCCACTTTCTTCTTTTCGGGACTCGACGAAATGCTCTCGTAAAGGTTCCCCCCTTCCTCCTCCTCTTCTCCCCGCTTCTCCCGTCCAAGCCTCTCCGCCCGCTTTGCCAAATTCGGGCTGTTGTATCCCGATGAGAAGGACATCTACCGGGAGATGGAGATAACGATGGTAGGCCAACAACCCCAACTGGACGAAGCGGCAGAAACTGGACTCACTCGATAGTTGTCCCGCAGGAGTTCGGGCGAATGCGAACGTGGAGGGTCTCCATCGCTGGGTCTGGATGGAGGTGGAGGTAGGAGGTCGCTCAGCTTGGGCGGATAGGGCCTCACACAACTTCCACCCACTCCCACTTCACCCCTCCTCTTCCTTCTCTCCCGCTTGCCCCTCTCCATCCCGATCCCCTCTACAACATCATCACCCGGATTGAATATCCAGATCGAAAGAGGAAACTCGATAATGCTCCTCCCTCATCCCCAACCACGATCTCACCTGTGCCGAATTTGGTAAGGCAGGTCCTCTTCACGGGGCCGAGATCGCAGTTGGCCAGTAATTCCGCCGATCTCTGGTGATACATCCCCGGTTGGGAGTTCCCCATTCCATTGAACTGTTCCACATGCACATTCACCACGTCACACACGAACACCAGTTTTGCAATCATCGCTTGACTCGAAGCCGTGATCACTCACCTGGAGGTGATGGTCTTGAAAAGTATGGAAGATGGACGTGGAGGCATAAGGCCCCGGAGAATCCGAACCTTTCTTCCCCAATCCCCGTTCCACTTCCGAATACTCCGTCTGGCACATCACCTTCCCTGTACAAGTTATCATCATGTTCACTATCCTCACGTTATAGCAGAGGAGGGGAAATGGAAGAAAAAACTGCCTTACCAATGAGAGGGTTTTCAGGGGTCCAATTGAGGAGTTTTGCCTCGGAATTATGTTCGTATTCCACGGGTTTCCACCGAGGATCGATCCAGAGATTCTCACGATCCGAAGAAGAGGAGCTCGTGTTGCCGTACCCCTTCCTCTCCAATCCATCTGGGAAATGGGGAAAAATCCTGGACCGTGAGGTCGATGGAAGAAATAGGCTTGTTGATCCCCCTCGAAAGTCTTTACTCCTATGCTCACCGTGTTTCAGAGACTTATTGTGAGCGAGTCTCCTCTTGAGGAGGAGAAAGAAGACCAAGGCCCCTAGAAGGAGGAAGGAGAGGACGCCGATGAGGACGATGAACCAGGTTTCCCTCAACAGGTTGTTTCCCTCTCCTCCTGTCCCCTCCCCATCGGATTCCTCGTCCGGGTCCAGGGTTTGATATTCCTCGGGATCGGGACTAGGATGGGGAGAGATCCTGACCGGGACGGACAGGGGACCCATCCCGGCAGCATTCAAGGCTGCCAGTTGGATCATGTATCCCTTCCCCTCCGTCAGATTATGAAGACTCAGGGAACGGGACTGGGACCGAATGGTGAAATTGGAATGGAGCGACCCGTCCTCCGACCTCACCTCCACCTGTTACTCACGGGAAGAAATAGATGCTGAGGAGCCAACTCGTTTTGGCGCACGGATGATGGAATGGAATGGAACACTAACGGAATAGGCCTGGATGATCCCCCGTAGCCCAGAACCAGAGAGGTCCCAACGGATTCCTGCTGTTGTCCCGTTTATGCGCTTGCTGAACACCCGACTAGGCGCCAAACTCGGTCCTATGTCCATTGGGCGAAAAAAAAAATACATCGCAATGATAACCAACGTTGTAATGAAAAACTCGGAAAAAGCAGCAAGAAATATCGAAACTTGACAAGAAAAAGTAGGTTGCTGACACTCGTGGTTCATACTACTCATACGTCACAACATTCTTTAAAAAAAAAATTAAACAAAATTCGGAGATGGTCCTGGAAGGCTCAAAACCCTTAGTATCGCTCGCTACAGTAGCGAACGGTCAAAAAGTAGGAAGCAAAATTCCAACAACAAAAATAGCTACAGGCTTACATTCCTTTGTATGGTCGACCTAAAGATGTGACTGTCATCGTCGTGCACATATATGGTTGAGAAGTGAAGCGAGTTCCAGCTTGCTCGCGATTTCTTTAAAACCAAAGTAATAATTGTGAAATACTTAAGCTAGCAGAGATTCACTACGTAAAGGACCGAATTCCCACAGTCTACTTTGACATTTTCCCCCGGCTTTTTTTTCAATGGCCCTTAGGGAAGAATGAATGAATGGGGGGCAATTAGGAACCCTCAAGGACGTAGAAACGAGTCTGTCCGCGTCCCTCGGGGTTCATTCCAGATACGTCCGATCGTGAGTGGATCGTGGAATTGAGAAAAACCACACGATTCTCACGGACACCTCTCCTAGTAAATGCCGGTTGTCTATGAACGCACTTTCACGTTTCTCTCTCTTTCTCAGCTTTTTATTGGCATGTGAATTCCTTTGATAGATCAAGCGGTTCCGTTTTTACGCCTAAAAAGTTGGAACTCGAGACAGGTGCCTCCTGGAAATTCGAAGACTTATTTGCATATGTGAAACGGCACAGCACTGGCCTGTTCTTCGCCTAGCTAAATCAGAAGATTGTCTGAAACACTAAGTATTGTCCTCGTTCGTGATAATTCTTTTAAATTAGATAAGTATTTTTTTAAGTTAAAGGAAAGAGCATTAGACGTGAATTTCGATTTATTAAAAATTAAATCTAATATGAAATTTGATTTAGGTATCACTTTACCAAAGGAAAAGACGAGGTCCGTTCAATTTGAGGTTGTCTTCAACTTTTCCGTGAAAAGGATACGGATGGAATATCAGAGATCCTCTGATTCTTTTCGTTTTTATTCTCTTTCTTTTTCGATTATTATCGTTCTGAATTTCTCAGTATCTCTCGCAAGCGTGCAAGTCTCAACACAGAGGGAGAGAAAAAACAATGGACTAACGGGCTTGAAGAGTGCGGACGATGACGGAATGTGAAGGTTTCCCTTGGATTCCCCCAAAAGCCAGGGGAAGAAGGAAGACCTCATAAGAAGAGTACTCTCGCAGGTCGTCGAGGGCGAAGTCACCCTCACCGGCTTCTACCTTCACCCGTTTGCTCTTCCAACCGTCTCGAATGCTCATCGCCTCGGAACTCTCATTACGTTCCCGCCAATACACGTAGATTCCACGCAATCCCTTTCCCACTTCGTCCAACTAAAGAGAAGAGATGAGGTACACAATACAGTAAGAAAAGTTCATACATTTCTCTTGCATTCCTATTGCTTCACGTTAATTTCCTTATCGTTGTTTCATAGAGTCATCTTCTCCTCCAGCCTTCTTCCTCTCTTGTTGAATTTTTAAAAAGCCACTTTCCCTTGCTATCGGTCCCAGGAGGTTGCAGACGTGACGTGAAATCACATGCATGGAGTAAACCTCTCATCCCGGTTTAGCGTTTGGCATTTCGGGACCGAGATGAAGCATGACTAGACGTGAGACCTGACGATCAGCCAATTAAGGGGGAAGGCCTATCAATGAAGCGCCAACTGTAACAGTTGATGAGTGTTTTACCGGTTAGCGGCATGATCGAGAAATTATCCTCCGAAAAGTTATCATCCTTCGAAGTAATCGCCTGAAAAGATGCAGCTGTCTTCAAGTAACACAGCTGAGACAGACCGATCTATCGAAAAACGAGATCGGTATTCCTCTGATAAAAGTGAAGTGTCATAAAGAACACATTGATGGGATCGTGTTGGATTTCACGGATACCTGGGGATGCAGCTACTCTGATAAGTACTGTCACCGCAGGGTCCTTTAAGAACTCCTCTTTGGGCTGTCCCTGTTTGCAGCAAATCCGTGATTAAGTTCGCGAAATTTGTCCTTCTGCATCCATTTTCTCATAATTAGGCGAGGAAGGAGAAAGGAATCACACGTATCTCAAATCCTGGATTTCATCCCTAGAGCTATTTCACAAGCTTGGTATTCGATCTTCATACATCAACGAGGACTCCAGTCCTCTCGAAATATGGGGATGCAGGATCTGAAACGATCCCTCCAATTGAGAAATACTCGAACACATACGACGAGAATACTAGGATCGTTTTAGGGAAAATATGGCATGATAACAACTCCATCGGGGAGCGTGTCTTGAAACTGAGGGCTATATAAAAAAAAATAAAGAAATATATATATACATAATACCGCTTGCAGAAATTCAAGGCGTATCGTTTGCAAACGATTCACTTTGAGTAACTTATCCAAAACCTAACAGTGCTTTAAGATTCCCTCACGAATGAAAGTCAGTACTCGCTCTACGTAAACCAGAGCCGGTTTTCGTGGATCTTGGCCACGAGTTCCTCAACGCCTTCGCACTGTTAATCATTCTCGCAGACTATGAACCCCCATGTTGCAGCTTTCACTGTCTGTGCTCGTGACGTAGCCAAGGGAACGGGAGAAGGGGAGGTGAAGACCCTCCCTTCGGTCTCTCTCGGCCCAGCGCTTCTACCCCTTGGGAAATAAGGCAGGCGCTTCCCTTTCGAGGAAAAACCTATTTTGGGAGATGATTGGTCGGCTGGATAAAGAAAAATTGAGCCCGGAAACAGTGACCCTATATATCTCAGATTCGACTTTAGGCCCGAATGCCGAAACCTCTTTTAGTTAACGGTCCTTTAACCCTTTGTGCTCCACTGTCGCGACCCACGCGACATTAACAGCACAGTGATGGCGCGTGGGGTGCGACAGTGGAGTGCAAAGGGTTAAGAATGCATGGACTCCTATGGGAGAAAAAAAGAACTATTTAGCTAAAAGGCCCCTTTATCTCCCTAAATGAGGTTTGTGCATTTGGGCCTTAGGACATTTTATATTCGATCAAACGTAGTTACATGCAGTGGAAATGGTTGTAGATGGTGGTTTCATCCCCTAAGAATGCGGCTTCAAAATTCCGACCCCTTCCACCCACCACAGAATCTTTTTGCTACAGCATCCCCACCCTTCTCCCATCTCCCTTTAAAAAAAAATTACTTTCGCTTCGTCACTGGCTGTATCCTTGAATTTACAACAGCTGCGACACGTAGAAAATAAATATCAACCTGACGTTATCTAATCAAGAAAGGAACCGTGGCAATGTAATGAATGAAGAAGCATTGAAGGATGTTGGTGAATCGAAACACAGCCAGAATATACCGTGGCTCCACACAGACTTACGAATCACCCTGTATATCAAATGATCCTTTATATCGAGGGTTCATAGGGTCAGACTGAGAGGTGGATGAAAGAGAAAGCCAGTTTTCACTTCTCGATCATCATCCTCTGTCATGATGTAATCGGATATAGGAAAAAAAGACGAGAGAATGGGCTCGTTAAGGCTCACTTGACACAGTGAGAAGAGAGAAAAGAAGACCTAGAGAACACAATCGTCTCTTCACTTTCATCATCCCCTCTCATTCTTGGATCCCCTCCGGGGATTTTTGACTCATCATCACCTTCTTGCCCTTTCCATCTCATCTCGTCAGCATTGAGCTGAATCCGGATGGAAGAGGAGGGCATACTACCTCAATTGTGATTCAGCTAAGAATCAAGATAATCGACAGGACATTCCGTTTTCTCCATAACTACCTTCGATTTTCCGGGAAGGGAAATTGTTTCGCTCCGAATAAGAGCCTGACATGTAGGCTTCGGGCAACATGTCAATTCTAGGGCAAGGTGGAGTCGAATTGAATCACCGCGCGCTGTCAGCAGAGAAAAAAATAAATAAAAAGGGTTCGAGAAGAAATTCCCAGGGGGCAGGATTTTTTAATAACAGGAGTGCTGACAAGCAGCGACTGGGGAAAGGAAAGGGAAGGGGGTGGAAAAACCGTTACGTAATGGACGTAGGGCCCTACCTTCCAAGAGATGTTGATGGATGTGGGAGAGAAGGGCGAAGCGTTACGAAGGACGAGCGTGCTCGATGTCCCCGCCTCCGTATTCCACGTCCCGGTCGTCACTCGTTCGCTCACGTTGCTGGGGACGCTCAAACCGTGTCCGTTCTCGGCGCGCACGATGAAGACGTATTCGGCTCCGGGCTGGAGGTTAATGAGGGTATAGACGCGAGTGAGGACCCGGAAGGCGACGAGGACCCAGCCCGTGCCCAGGGTGCTGCTGAAGTATTCCACGGTGTAACCGACGAGGTTAGAGGCCCCAACGTGGCTGCCCGGCTCCCACGACAACGTCACCGAGTCCCGTGTCACGTTCACCACTGACGGTTTGGATGGGGGACCCGGGAACGTGGACTCTTCCGGGGTTCGATGGAAGGATACGTTCTCGTTCCCCTTTGGATCCCTCACCAGTAAAACACTGAACCAAGACGTCTCCCCGGATGCCGACGACGCCACGCACCGATATTCCCCGGAATCCTCTTCCAGCAGATCTGCAACGGCAACGGATTTTCATCCTCATCAGAGCTCTTTTTTATTCATCGCGTCAGGAATGGGACCCGATTAGACACTGCGACAAGGAGGCGTCACGAGACTGACCCCTCACAAACGAGTATCTTCATCAACTGACAGCTTGCAACGCAGATGGCTTCTCCCTTGTCAATCAACTATTTTTTTCCATTCGTCCTTATGAGTATCATTACTGTCAAGATGCTACGATAGTATATAGTATGAGACATACCGATGATGCGAAGAGTGCCAGTGTCGAGGATGGAGAAGCGAGAGTTCACACTGGCACCGGAAATGGGTATATTGTCCTTGAGCCACCTGATGGAAGGGATCGGTGAACCGATGGCTTGACACGGTAGAATCGCCTCATATCCAACGGGCAACGTCTGGTTACCCGGTCCCATCTGCACATACATGCTTACTTCTCATCAATCATGGCATGAAATCACTGACAGGCAATCGATAACGATGTCATCCGGGCGATTCCATCACCGAGTAACACTGATCCCATCAATCCGGGAAATTCGCAATAACCAATCACAAAATTTAAAATGAAATGCAACTATTAATTATCACATGGCGAGACCAAGATGGAAATGTTTTGGGAGACATCTTAAGACAGGAAGAACGAAAAATAGGCATCGCTGATGGTATGTAGAAGCATGTCTGAATATTATTGTCTGTTCTGTGGGAAACACTCAGTACCCATGTAGAGAAAAGTTTTCTTTAGCATCGGCAGGAACCTTGCTGTAAGACAGGTCTCTTGGAAAGTGATGGTCTAGCAGAATGCTAGCTATTTCGAGGCCACCGACTGCACTTCATTCATACAACGCCATGCGGGTACCCCTACTTACATGAAAGCACTCATGAATTTCCTTTAATATTACAATCATTTCATGGACTTTCTCAGCATTACAGCAACATGACGACCCTTTTTTTCATTAGTTGTTCGAGGAAAATCAGTTGCAGGAGCAAAAAATTGTTGAAAACAAATTCAAGTGCTAGACGTTGAACTATTCAGCTATTCAGCTCTGAATTGGAAGGGACTTACTCTCAATTGCACTCTTGAACAGTGAATCTGAGAGTAAGTTGCCAACCTCTAGAATAGCAGAAGAATGATACAAACCTGTATGATGGGCGGAGGAAGGTCGGCGAGGGAAAGGACCTTGAGACGGGCCCAGGCGACAGACGATCCGGCTTCACTGAGCAAGAAGCATCCCCACCGCCCAGAGTCTTCCCGTTTCGCATCCGTGATCGTCAACGTCCCCATGGACGACACCGATAATCGACCTTCCTTCATTGTATACCCTGGTACCAGCAACTCCTGCACACAGAGCGGTCGTCATGATTTTCATGGAGTTCCAATCGTCACTCCCAAACGTGATGGATCAAAACTTTACCTGGGAGCCGTTGCTCCAGAAGAGTGCAGGGGTGGGATTCCCAGAGCCCTGACATTCCAGTTCCACCGTTGTCCCTTCCTCCACTTCCCTATCCATCGGCTGGATGAGGAACGTCGGAGTATCTGTTCCAACAGGCACCATATTCATCCTCATCCACGCTCTCCAGTTTTTTTTTACATTAATTTTATTTGAGGAAAATGATGATAATGCTCACAGTGCACGATGAGTCTTGCGCTGGATTTAATGGCGCCGACGAGGTTAGAAGCCTGGCACACATATACACCTTCATCTTGGGGCAGAGCCCGATGAATGACGAGACCTTGGTCTTGGATCGCTCTAGATCGTCCCATGGGCAGAACCCCGTCTACTCTTTCCCAAGTCACCTGGGGTAAAGGATCTCCCCCCACTCGACACTTGAATTGGACATCCGTCTCCACCTGCACGATCGTCTCCGTCGGCTCCTTTATGAAGAACGGCTTCACTGTGTGCACAAGAACGGGAAAGTTCCTCCGTGAGATGACAAAGTCCTCCTAATGGCATTTCCCAATCGTCATCGTTAAGGCTTGTCTGCTGATTCCTCACTGCCCCTTTCCTCAATCCTTCCTTCACCCAAGAGTCAAATCGTGACCATCAGAATGCACCATTTTCTGGTTTTTAAAGACCCACACAAAGGTAGGTGTGTTCCCGATATCTGAATATCGAAGTTCGGCCATCAGACAAAAAGATAATGAGAAGCCTCAGAACAAAAGGAAAAGGGGGGGCGATGAAGTTCGTGACAATACAAGGACTTTCTTTTTCCGTTTTAGTTAAGTGGCTAGAAAGAATGAACTGTGGTGATCGTGATGCCCCTTGGAGATTTTCTGCTCCACGGTCCGAATCGGCCTTTGAACCGAAGTAGAAAGAGAACGTGCCTCCTCGTCTAGAAGACCTAAAAGACCATAAAGATCTCTCGATGGTGCCTGATGAACCCGAAATCCCCTTCCGTTTCCGTTCTTAGTTCTTCCTTTACGTCGGTCTCTTCGTATTTACCTGCTTTTCACGCATTTTACAAAGAATTCCGTACACGAAGCTTATCGCTGAACAATAAAATGATAAAAATATGCTTGCACGGAAACACGAGGATAAAGATTACACCCATCTTGTCCAATGGAGGCTCATAAATATGGGGTGACGTGAGTGTGGGTTGGGACAGAAGGCGTCAGGGAACCGGTCCCAGAACGAGTTTGCTCCGTGAATAAAGCCGACATTATGACCTGGGGACGACTGTCACGATCAAGCCACAGTCGAGCCGCGGGGCCGAAAATTGCAATATAGGCCGACGAATAATCTTATCGTGTGAATGATTTACAAGGTTCCATAAAGCAGCGGGAGGATCCACCAGCGAATTCTTGACTTGGCAAACATTTACACGTGCAGTAAAAGGAGTCCTTACATAGCTCTCTGATAGACGCACTTCATCCTTCATCCACTTTTTAGTCGCATTCTCTCTCGAAGGTGAATAAGTTATTTAATGAATTCGCAAGGGAGAACAGAATAATAATATGCTGCTGTCAGGAATATTACACCATTCCAGGGAAAACAGCGCTCTACCCAAACTTAGGTGGATACTGCCTCTCCTCGTTCATTGCTCGAAATTCCGCGTACCAATCACGACGATTTCCTTAAGTTGGAAGGTCTCTTAGTTCCCTTGATTTAGGATATAATGCCTGGCGACTCATGAAGGAATTTCGATAAGGCAATCCAGGAAAGATAGAAGGGATCGTCCCGTTCGCTACCTCTCCACCGCTTTGTTTTTTTTTTAATGGTGTATTTCCCCTCTTCGTTTTTACTTCAGACAGCGGTTGAAAAGCAGCAAAGGAAAAACGTCTTAACAAGCATTCGGAAGACACTGAGCAAATCGAGGAGAGCATCCGGGAATCCAAATATTGGAATCTACCATAGACGCAGGTTATTCCTCCACTAGCCCCAAAGGTGGGTCTCAATAATGGGAAGTTCTCCCCCTCTCGCCTGTATATATCGATCCAACCTTCGTATCAAATATGTTAGATGAATGGGGAGCTGGAGACGCGGAGGCAAACACGAGAGCTTCGAGCTGCCAACGTTCGTTAGAGAGAAGATGCATAGAGCACCCAAGGGGAAGATACAGTGAGTAGCCTATCTATTCCAATTGAATGTGATTCCAGTTCCTAGTTCCAGATGGAACTAGGAACTAGATTTAGGATAAGAAATGGAAGGAAATTTTCCATATCTGAAAAATGTAGCAGGTAAACGAAGATGTGAATAAACCACCAAAGATATTTCCCCCGTATTCCTAAGAATCTGATGAATGGCATTGAGGAAAATCTTATAACCAACAAAAGATGCAGTAGAAAACGAAAGTTCTCAGGAGGAAAAGGAAAAAGGCTGCGGAACGAAGCTGGGGAGAAAGGCGCACTTCTATTAATCCGAAGGCCGATAAGCGAGGACTTAGCTCACTTCGAACCTGCGCCATTGATAAGATTCGCCATACAATGCCTCAACAAGCATTGAACTTCTGATGTAAGCCACCAATTTGCTGCCCTCTGCTATTGCATTCAGATTTGCAGCAGGTAGTAAGCTCATATGTCAGGCTTTGGATCGATGCAATATTTCAGACATTTAAGTATCACAATGCATCGACCTTTCCCTCATCCAAGAAAAATTACATTTTGTTGTGATTGCGGCTGCCTTTCTGGTTGCCTTAGTTGAGAGGTATAGATAATGTAGGGATGACAATTATTCCAGTCTATCATAAGCCACCTCTGTCCTTAAACCCCACCTATTACGGGGCCATCTATCACTTCGTGAAAGAGTTTCTCTTTCCCAGTTGATTTACTTGCTTTTTTTTTGGAAACGAAGAACACCGTGATGAATAACGTTGAAACATGATGAGAAAGAGTGTTTCTCACCGTGGACGGTGAGAAGTGCAGGGCGAGATTCTCGAAGTGCGACGACGTTCTCGGCAAGGCATTTGTATTTACCCTCGTCTTCTTTTTCCACCTTCCCTATCACCAGGTCTCCTCCTTCCACTCGCAACCTGGTTCGGCATGGATTTCATATTCATCATTATCCCATAACCGTGACAAAAATTGGACACATTGACAATTAACATGACACACGTGACCCGAGACACATGCCACAGATATGACGGTACCTCACATGGTCGAGGGCAATCGACATACATGAGGATTCAAATCCAAATAAACATGCTTTTTGGAAATCATAGAGAGCAAGGTAGTGCAGGGTTCGAAGTTTCACTGGTAGACGCCGCCAAATGTATTGGAGTGACAATGGCCAATAACCTAATTTCTAATGTCATATCGACGGTCTCTTCCATACTATCAGCATCCAGTCTGATAACAAAGAGCATGAGAGATGATCTACAGCTTTATTAGGGCGTGCATCCTTTCTTGTGTTATCAACTGTATTTATATCTCACCTTCTGCACAGCGTCACGTTTTTTTTAGCTTAACACTAGCTATTTTGGTAGCCAGGTGATGTCAACTCTGGGTGAAACTGGAATGGGATAATTCCAGTGGAAAATTGACCATAATTGGAACTTAAATGATGCCGCAGAAACCCCTCTTGGCATCGGAAGGGAGTCATTTCAGTTGTTTTTCTTAATTACAAAATACTGGTCACGAGGTCGAGGACTGTAGAATGGCTAGTTGAAATACCATACATTCGGTATGATTGCTGCCAAGACACGACCAATTTTAAACATAAGAGCAGACAGTTTTCATTTTCTCAACAGACTTGTCGAGTCGAGTGACAACCGACTAGTCCGCGAAGTTTAATTGAAATCTGATTCAAATCCAACGTCAGATAGATTTATAAATTTACAACGACTTAATGGATACTGCCTGTCTCACCATAGAATGTATATATGACACTGGGAGAGGATAGTTTTCCTTGCAGGTCATGCGTAGCAACCGTCAGACGCAAGTACAGAGGTAGGGATATGGTACTATTACCAAAACGTTAGCCTACATATGCTGAATAATTCCATCATCAGATAAAGTTATAGCAATTTAACGTTATCACAGTATTTTTCACCTGAGTCAGACATTTTTTCCCTTGTCAAGTAAAAATTGTCGAACTCAAGGAATTGTCGAATTGAACACTGTTTAAAAAGTTAATAACGCCAATATCTGAGGTTTTTTTTTTTTAATCAGTAGTCGCATTTACCGGAAAGGAATGGAGGGAATGGGAACGGGGGAGAGAAATGGCACAGACAATGTTCGCAATTGTATGGCAGTTGTTATCTTGCAATGGAAAACATAACACATACTGGTATCAATGAAGCCCTCATTGAAAACCCATTCAGTGAAGAGGAGGATTTTAGACACAAGTGGAAACCTGAAATTTATACAGGGGTGCACTCGAGGAGGGCGGGAAAGAACTATCATTATCGCTAAGCCTCATGCCCCCAGAGTCAACATTCCCTTCCTTATCTAATCCCATTTCCCGCCTTCTCACTCACACAGTTCGGCTACCGGCAGATACCTTATACGCTGAATTTTCTGCGGCTACTCACGTTTCGAAAGCAGTACTCGTTACATTGGGAGGGATTTTTCTCGACCGATGGATGGTATTTTGTAGGATACAGTTAGGCTCGATGTTCATTTACAGATCTTAGCAGAAGGGATAATGGAACTAGCAACGAAAAGCAGCTCCCAAGAATTGCATTCCAGTGGCCTTCGCACAGATATACGTATCTCTCATCCCGCACCCTCATCAACTCTCATCTTCAGCGACCGCAACCGTAATGCTCACCTCAACCTCCGAAAGAATCCTCATTTACCAACCTCAACAACTATCATCCCCTAACACTTAACAATCCCTATCCCCTACCACTCTCAACAACTCTCAACACTCTTTGTCTGAGCTCAATCACTCTAGGCATTTATGGAGCTGGCAGCTCACGAATGAGTGAGCGAGTAAGAGCGAGTAAGTAAAAGAAAGATGTTTGGGATCCTTCCCGCTTTCCTGTTTACAGTGACGCGAGAGTGAGGAGATGAGAGTGACGTCCCACCTGGAATCTCGGTGAATGGGGACAAGGATGTCATCTTTGGTCCATCGAACCACGGGATCCGGATGACCTCTGGGAGGATCGCATCCCAGTCTCACCGTTTCACCTTTCACTCCTTTCGTATCTTCCGGCTCCTTCCGGAAATCATCACGCAACACTGGATTGGAAGGAAAAGGCCACTCCATGATGTCACAAGGCATAAAGTCCGTTGGTACTGGTGAAGGGCAAGGCAAAAAGAGGGAAGGGATTCTAATTATAACGAAAGAGACCACCTTTCAATCCCAGTCCTTTCCCCTCTAGCCCTTCACAAATAAACACGGGAAGTGCGTGCGTGTAAGAGGGGCTCGTTATGTGGGTGCCAAGGAAGCTGAGGAAGAGACCTAGGCCTAAACCTAAACCTTAAGGATCTTTTCATTCATCGCTTCATGCGACATCCAACCCCCTATCCCCAAAGCAACCGTTACATCAGAGACCTCTTTTCAGTTTCTTTCTTATTCTTTTACCCAGATTCTTCCCTTTTGAAGTGGAACGGCTGTCATATTTTGTAGGCCAGGCTGTCAGGCTTACCGTGATGTCCCCCACTGATTCAACTATTCACAATGAAAATATGAATGGATGAATGAAGGAAAGGAGAAGCAATTCAAAGGCATGTAAAACGAAACCTGTCCCTTTTTTGCAGAGATAAAGCGCTTACACGTTTAATCTTCCTGTGTTGTTATAGAAAAGTGAGGAGGGAAAAGTATTTCCATCGTGTCAAAGACTACCTTCTCACCTCACAGAGAAGGGGGTGATGCGGGAATAACACACGACCAATTTAATACAGATAAGTGGGAATCCCACAGCGGATAAGGAAGGCTGAAGACATCTTGTTTAGCTGGCAGCTAACGATGGAGGAGAGGGGGTAAAGGGGAGAAAAAGAAACACACATTGAAGTCTACCTCCGGGAGACAGCTGGAATCACGTGCGAAACGACATCTCCGAGATGGAATGGAGGGGAAGAGGAGGGAAGAAGCAAGGGTTCAGCATGCCAGAAAGTCTATGAATAAAATCGGAAGAAAACTAGGAAGGAAAATACGTAAGAGTATACATTCATTATGAAGCATCCATTCATTATGGAGCCCCCGTCTCAAAGGCACGCCATCGCAGAGATACAGGGAATACCAGAAACCGTGCGGAGGACGAGGGGAGAGACATGGAGAGATGATTGATACATCATTCAGTTCCCATTCCTGGTTCCAGGGAAGGAAGAACAAGGGGAAGTGCATGACAAACAGAGGGATCCATCATTGAAAGAGAGAGAGGAAGAAGTCATTTCGAGGAGTCGATAATGAGGATGAGGATGGGAGCCTGCGAATTAGGGGAAGATTGACATGATGACATTGACATGGTGCATTCCCTGGTCCCCATAACTTCCAACACATCCCACCTTTTCCCCCGGTCCTCAAGGCTCAAAGCTGTCTCTACTGAGACAGTAATCTTATCCCATCAGAAGACCAAGTAAAAAAAAAAAAAAAAAAGGAAAAAAAAAGGAGATGTTAGAAAAGTGGGATTCATATTCAACAGTAGCGTTGAAATGGCTATAGGCATTTACGTAGGATATACGGAGGGTTAGTCAAGGGAAAGGGATATATGCGAGGTAGGTGATGCGTGGAAGCACTTCACCAATATATCCTTGCGGCCAGACAGGCTACTTTAAATTTTATTTACAATGAAGTTTCTGTTCGTGAATAAAAATTTTCAAAGAACAACAGAATGTATGGTTTGAATGTCAAAATCGCAGTTCAGAGCAAATAAATGAGACTCCTTCAAATGTTCACATAACATCCAGCAGCTGATGGTTCACAGTCCCATGAAAGCAGACATCATCCCGATTGAGTCTGGTTCACGATGGGTGGCTGTCAGGTGTTTTCAACAAAAAAAGGGATCTTCACGCAACGGAGGCAATCTTCGGAACTCGTGCTCCTAATAGTCGGAAAAGAAGAAAAGCTCGTAATGAGGGCGGCCTCGCATTTGATTCTTCGGCCTGAAGATGACAGGTGTGGTCCTCGAGAGAATATCGGAATCGCCCAAGAACACGTGGTGAAGTGGGAAGGGTAAGGAGAAAAAGAAAGTGGCGATTTCCCCTCTCTCCGGTGATTCATATCTGTGTAAAACGGCCCATTAATCCCCCTCACGTTAATTACCTGGGATGTTTGGAAGAGCTCCCGGGAGTCACTCTTATCTCGAGCCGTTTCCTCCTGGGTGGAGTACTTCCAACCCCAGGCCTTCCCACTCGCCCCTCTTTTTTTTTTTTCTCTTCCTCTCATATGTATACCAGCATTACGGTAGAAGTAGGGTAAGTCGGATATTCCTATGCTTCAGTTTCATATACTGCACATTTCCCCGGCCGGTTTAAGATTCGCGAATGAAGTAGACTCACCAAGCAAAAATATTCTTACATTAAAAAAATTAGAGTGGGGGGGTTGGGGGGTAGCAGACCCAACCCAGCATAACGAGCTGAAGAGAAGAAAGGAGAGGGAAGGAGGATGTGATGCCTGGCACTTTTCATTCCAGGATCCAGAGGAAGCTGAGTAATTAAATCAGACAAGAGTCATATGAGATAAGAAAGCCCTGCCCCCAGTGTCGCATGTCAATTAACAGCCTCTTGGCTCCCCCTCTATAAAACCAGTTTCTTCCTCACCCAGGAAGATATTGGCATTCAAGGCAACGAAGAGTCGGGGAAGATTGAAAGGCAGACCCGGGAGTGGAGGAAACAAACCTTCCATCTCCATACATCCTTGACGGGAAATTGAATTTCCAGACGATGAAAAGAAATCTTACTTGATCCCCTCTCCCCCTTTCGATGAAAAAGCTGCCGATATCACCCTGTTATGAACAAAAGTCATACTCCACATGCTCTTCGGTCCCTCAGACTTACATAGGTCGATCGGTGCAACATGGCTCTCCAACTTCATCGACATACAACTTCCCAACCTCATAGCTCACACTTGATCAACTCAATCGATACGCTTTTATCTAGTTTCACCAAAAACTAAGCCCGACAAACTATCATCCTTTGGGAGTCAATACTTTCCAATGATTCTAAATACGTGATTTGGGATGATGTTCTTTAGCCGACCAAAGAAGGAGACAGATCTTCAAGAAAAACCACTTTCATAATTGTGGGAACTTTGGATTCGTCTCGATGTCAGTACTGTACTGATCAGTACGGAAAGTATTTAAGAGTGCATACTGCAATGGGCAACGAAAGGCCCCCTCTCCAGTCTGAACCGACATACCACTACTCTTCCTGAATAAATTTTCAAATGAACTAGCCTGCGTATTTGCTCCTAACAGGCTTGTGAAATTTTGTTCCTTTCGTTCTGCCAAAACAGCTGCATGGGGAATATTTAAAGAAATTATAAATTGAGAATGGATGGATTGTTCATCTCACTCCTGCCATCTCCTCCGAAATAAACGAGGCGAAAATCCCAAAAAGCAAGCTCTCATCATTGTTACTGTTTCATAGGCCATTTGTTAATCGGCAAAAACTCATTTAAACCACATTTTCAGATGCCAGTCAAAAGAATGAATTTTAATGGAGGTGGAATTTCGAGTAGACTTCACATAGACCAAGACCACCTCGATTTGGACCCGATTTACTTTGCGACCCCGTCGGACTCCTGTTTGCTAGAGCCATAACTTGCGTTGCTTTACCGGCTGGTCAATCCCACTGCACGAAATTTTGTAGCGTCCTGTATCTAATTTGAAACCAAAGAAAAACTACCAAAACTTCGACGACTTTACTCGCAGATGGGTAGTTGAATTAGTTGCACAAAAATAAGGCTCAAGGCTTTATCTTTGTGCAACAAATTTTGATGAAACTTCACAAGTCTAAGAAAAAAAACCACACCAGCCAATTACAAGTTTTGACACAATTGCTTCGCTTCCCATATGCAGTGCCTCCGCTGTAAGAGCGAAGATACTCCATATGGGCTCAGTTAGCTGTCTCGTTTTGCCATACCATGTAGTATTCAAAATAAACGAAGGAATAACTAAATTTGCATCGATTTCGACGAATGAGGTACTATTACATCACCTAGCTCTGGGAAAGTCGTTATGGGGTCCAAATTGCTAAAACGTTACTTGAGATCTGAAAATACTAGAACGCAGACCGCGCGACTTATCTTAGAAATTTTGCTGTTTTACTCTGAAAATGATGCTTGGTGAGCTTACTTCGGATCGACTATAAGCTTTTTTGACAATTACCGAAAGTATCAAATAAAGACTAGAGCTGGACAGATTTTAACAATCAAGGCACTGCTGATGGATTTCTACCGACTTGACGTTATGGGGTCTCACTGAGCACTCCGGTTAGTTGAATTGGCTAGTTATTTCCTATAAAATTACTGAACCGATTTGAAGAAGCAAAACAGGTGTGGACTTGTTAATGAAGCACTTAAACGCTTTTGCAAGCTTGGTCTACTACGTGCAACATAATGGTGGGAAAAAATCGGAAGTTGAAAGCCTCAGATGCAAAACTGCACAAGTCATGAGGGACCAAGCCAGTATAATTAAAGAGACAAGACCTCAGAGGGAAAGAATCGCCTATTTTCCGTAGAAGAAGTTTAATTGGCGATTTTTGCGTTTTATAGCCGTGATTCATTGCTTTTGGGGCATGACCACACGTTCTATTTTCTATTTAATAGTACGGACTTTTATTTTATCCGAATCCTTTTCTATTTGGTATGACTGTCAGGGGAACTGCCTTCCATCTCCATCAGCTTATTAAATGTGCTGTACAATTTTTCGACTTTTCTTCAACGAGATCGGTCGTTGAAAGGGCAAGGGTGTCCTCTTCGATTTGTATAGATAGAATCCAGAATTTCCCATGACTGTGGCTCTGTACCTCCGCCCCACTGCAAGCCGAACCCAACAGATCGAGGCAAACCCACACATTTCAATTTGACACCCAAATTCAAAATCCAAGGAGTCTCGAGTGAATGACTGAGGGGAGGGAGCTTTTCTCACCGGCAACAGTGAGGGTGGCATTGTTTGACCTGGCCGTGCCGACCCGATTCCGAGCCACACACCAATACGTCCCCGCATCTTGCTCCTTCTTCGTCTGCATGACTCGAAGGAAGAACAAAGCCCCCGAAGGCAGAGCCACTCGATGAGATTTCCCTCCGCTCGCGACGGCGACCCCATCTTTGAACCACTGGATCTCGGGATCTGGTTTGCCCTCGGCCTGGCAATTCAAAGTGACCGGGTCGTTCTTTCCTACCGTCATGTCTGTCGGGTGTTCCGTGATCCGAGGACTCCGGTCCTGGGCTGCAAGCAGAAAAAGAGAACACTGCCAATAACAACTCCTAAAAAAGGGGCGGGAGGGTTCATTAATCACAACCAATGGACGCCGGGATGCGATCACTCACGGCCTGCAATCTCTCAAAGTCGATGCATCCTGACAGCTGAACAGGCACAACAGCGAGCATGTCAATTTCGTTCTGTTTTGGGCCTTCAACCGCACGAGCGCGTCGATTTCGGCAACGGAAAGAGCGAGGCAAATGTCATGGAAAGAATTACGAGGTGTGTCCGGGATATGACGTCACGAGGGATCCTATTGTGATGATTATCAAGAAAGGGCGATAATTGTCTGTCTTTGTCTCCAGGTGTGTGGCCGACTGGGTTCACCCTCTCCCTGGGCCTCCAATACACAACTGTGCACAGCGCCCCTCTCACACCATATATAGAGTATGCTATCAAGGTGGGGCAATACTTGTTTCCCCCCAACGGAAGGGACCGATAATTACTCGCTCTTAAGATCGGATATAGAAGAAGAGAGCGAACAGAGGAGACTCCCTGCCTCGGGATCATTTCGAAATCCCAATCAATTATTTCTTCAGGGTCCAAAGATCTGCCGAACGAGAATCGTGTCATTAGATGGCCTTCATTTTTCCGCGCATAAGAACCCACAATTTCTTATAATTTAAAATATTATGGCTTATAATCCAATTAAAGGAATCGCTTGAAGTTTTAACACGATGGCACGTTCTCTTCCAAACCACGGAGATCATCTACCCGCCTTAAAGTTCTCCGTCACTATCTCGAGTAGGAAAAAAAAGTGAATGGGCCACTGCTAGCAATTGAAGCTCTTGCAGACTTGGAAGGTGAGAAGATCGAAGGAAATGATATATGAACAATCTGAGTTATAGCAGAAAGCAATGAAAAAGTGAATACTCTCGAGCCTCCCCCTCCCCAAATAAAGAGGAAGTAAATGTGGACATGTCGTCGTTTCAACAAAAGGGAGCGAAATGTTGATAGCTTCACAGTTTCAGTCCTGCATTACCTAGTTGGAGGTCTGAATAAGTCACGGCGCGCCTTAAACTGGCCATAAATTTCAATTCAAATCATTTTAAGCACTTTTCGGTTCAGAAACAATGGCTTTGTCAAGTCATGCTCTCACGACACAAACCACTGACCTAGCTTCGTTTATTGTTCCGGTGTACAACCGCAGTCAAAATCGACTCACGTCAGGAATAGGATATTCGACAATGAACAAAGAACGGAAAAATTAGGACCGGAATGGGCTGGATTCGGGTAAAGTTTTTTTTTCCCCAAGGATGCAAAAAAGCCTTAAAAAATTCTCCTTCTGAAAGTAAACTTACTCTGTTGATCTCAAAGGTTCTGCATAAGGTAAATAAAGGAGTCAATGCGACCGCCACAAGGGAATTGGGAATCCCATAGAAAGAGAAGCGTGAGTGGACTCGGATTTCGAAAAGGCAGAAAGTGAACTGAATGAGGAAAATCGATCAAACGCAACCTCACCGGGAAAGATAGTCAGCCTAAGGTCTCAAATTAATGGCCCATAAAAGCAATGAGGAAGTTTGTCACTAATGAAAGGGAAGAGGATTCCGCATCGTCTTCCTCATCTGCACACTCACGCAAGGAAGCAATTCCGAATGCGCATAGATTTCTTCATAATGACCCTCATTTTATTCCTTCACTGCTTTCGTCTTCCGCCCCTTCCCAAGACTAACTCTCCGCTTTTCAATCTCATTCGCCCCTTTCGTACAAATGAGCAGTATTCAAGCGTGAATAGGGAATGAAACCTCCTTCATTCCCTATTCCAAATGGACTTCATTGAAAGAAACAAAACACCCTAAACGCTGAGATTTCTCATCCGAGACTCGTATTTTCCTGCTCGCTTCTTTTTCTAAAATTCAGGTGCAGGTCTCATCTCTAAATTGTCCGACTTTTGAGAGAGAGAGAAAAATCTAATTATAAGGATGCCTTTGAGTGATCCTCTGCGTTAATGAGATACCAAAATCTTCCTTCTGGATCCACATAACATGGAAGGAGGAGAAAACGGTTCAGATGGAAAAAAAGGGTGAGGGACAAAGAGAACAGCAGGGTGCGGCTCTGTAGACTCAACAAAACGAGGAAAGTGCATTTTCGGGGATAGGATATCACACCAAAAGCAGGCGGGGATGTAAACGAAAACACACACTGCCCCATCCGCACCCTTCTTACGATCACCTCCAATACATGCTGCTGGCCATAGAATTGTTATGTCTGGGTGGACCTGTCCACTCCCACTCGGGCACGATTCAGTTGAGTTCGGTTCAAGTGTGTGCCGGTCTCATCTCAAAGGAAGAAAAGGCTATAAACGTGAAATTTACTGTTCTTGAGGCCTAATGACGATGGCATGAGTGTGTCTATGGGAGAGTGGAGATAAAGCTGTAAATGGCACCTCGAGAGTTTTGCAGGAGGGTGGATCCTTGCAGAATGGCTTCATCACATCAGAGAGAGGGGAAATGGGTCTATCTTTCTCTCCCTCTTCCGCAAAGAACATTCCTGCAATGCCTGTCCCCCTCCCTCTCTTCCTGGGATAATGCACACTCTGCACTAGTCTCTTATGTGCGTCAGAAGACCTGGGTTTCAATAATTCATTATCCGTGCAGCACACATTCAAAATGATAAATACGAGTCTTTAATAATGAATCTCGCAGGACATACGCCCATTAAAAGCAAGGAAGATTACACAGTGAATCCATTCAAAGTGTCATAAGGCCACCTTAATGAAAGGGAGTTGAATTATGACGGACCACTAAACGTCATTCGTTTCCGAGCCTTCTATTCGGCTCCTTCGGTTGCGATGTTTGAGATACACTGATCCCAAGAATTTTCTCTAAAAAAAAAAAAAACAGGAAGTCTTGGTACAAAGAGGGAGAACAAGATGCAAGATCATCGTCACATGTCGTCTCCTATCAAATTATCAAGGGGAGAATATCTGGTCTTGTCATCCGTCGAGGCAATCGCGAATCCGTTCCGGGTGAAGCAGATGTAGGATGGGTCTAAGAAAAAAGTTGTGTCTCGTGTGCAGCTTCGCCAAAAACGCTACCACGGAAATCCGGAAAAGGGGGCTTACATCGGCATTTGAGGAATGCTTCACGACTGAGCGTTCTACCTCCTCTAGATATTCTACCATGCAGGAAACTAGAGCTATTTCTAGACTCGATGAAGTCATCGATACCGTGCCGCTACATCTCTTTGCCCATGCTAGTGTTCAAGCACCCATTCTCAGCACTCGATGCAATCAAGTTCACTGAGATTAAAATTTTTCGTTTATGTGGGCCGATGTGGACTCGGCTGGAGAAAGTCTCCACGTAAAGGGAGGTTTTCGACGAGTCACGTCATCGAGTGCACCTCACCCGAGAGTCGACTTCAATGAAAATTCACAGCAAGGTACTTGGAGGAAATAAATGAATAAATAACGCATGGGGATGGGGAAATCAAAGACACTGACCGGAAGAGGACGAACTGGTGAATCCGATGATGACGAAGAGAAGGACCGAGAGTGGATATGGGCTTAGAGCTCCGATAAAACCCATATTGCGGTAAGGCGATTCACTTAAATTCGAACGCGTGGAACGCAAACACGGGGGATAGGAGAGACGACGAAGCCCGATTCGGGGCCTACGATCGCAGGAAACGCAGCGGAAACATGCCACATGATGAGACGCACCACAGCGTTCGGTGAAGGAGACGATCCGTCGCCACGCAAGGACTGGACTGGACTGGAGGAGACGAGGGAAGCGGCTCGTGCTAGTCTACCGAGCGGGCTCGGCGCCTCCCTAGCATGCGGAGCCTGGGCTCACCCAAGAGGGGGGACCCCCGATGCTGCCAAGTATAAGCGCATTGGGGATCTTCTATCGTAACTGCAGGCTGGCCTAGCGGCTCTAGGGAACTAAGCCTGGTAGAGCGAGGGGAGGGAGAAAAAACGACCGACCTCTCCCCCTCTCTCTCTCTCTCTCTCTCTCTGTCTTCTCACCATGGGGTGGGTCTATCTGGATCTATGATTCTGCACACATGACCCTCCCAACTTCTCGTCTCTGCCTACGATTGATCCAGGCGTGGGGACGATCTTGCTCCACTCCCACCCCCCTCTCCCCCCCCCCCTCCCCCATTCCCTTTCTCGCCTTCTCGAAGCATCTCGAAATTGCGTTTCGAGGGTATCGCATCGGTTTCCAAAGAATGCATGCATTATTGAACAAAGGGGGAAGGAATGCATCCACGCATGCATTTTTAAAGGATTGACATATGGCGGGGGGAAGGAAGTCCGGACCCTCGCCTTCTTCTGCAAACGCTTCTCATATCCGCTCAAAGGTTAGCAGATATTTGCCTTCGATCGTTCGCGGGATCTCTTTCCCCTTCCCCCTTCGAAAAGCCTCCGAATTGCACCTGGGCTCCGGGATTTTTCTTCGCTCGTGGAACCGCGTCGTCGCCCTCGGGCGAAGTGGACGGAGCTCGGGAACCGCAATACGGGCATTCGCGCCTCCACGAACACGAGAGAAGCGAGATGGCTATAAGAGAGCGGGCGATGAAGCGCAGCACGGTCGAGCGTAGGAGTTCTGCTGCAGTGAGTGACTGAGGGAACTTTAATCGTGTCATCGATCACACAAGGAGAGAGAGCGAGAATGATCAATCACGGCCTTTCCGACTCATTGCTGCCGAATTACTCGGAAAATTCTCCTCACTTTTACTGCCTCCGAAATTCGGTTCCGGCCGAAGAATTGGTAGAATTTGGAGCGTCTGAGTGGAACCCCAGAAAGTGGGGCGATCGTCCCCCCCCCCCCCACCTTCCGTTTCAGAAGGTGGAAGAGGAGCGGTCCTCACGGCACCACGCATTCGGAGACAAACAGGTCTCAATTAGCAGAAGCATGGTTTCGCGTGCAGCGCCCAAGATTGAATAATATCTTGCAGGGGGGGAACCTGCCCGTCATCGATTTCCTGGCACACTTAATGGCTCGGATCAATCCACGACGGTTGCACGAGAGGGGTCCCTTTAGGTCCCTTTAGGTCCCTTTAGGTCCCTTTAGGTCTCTTTGGGTCCCTTTGGGTTCCTTTCCGCGATTCCTATTGCGGGGTGGGACGTCACGGCTTCTGCTTTCCCTTCGCTCTTTTTCGCACGACTCTCTCTTTTCCCGTGCAC